CATATTTTCAAAGAGCTTAGAGCACTCTATTGTTATGTTTCGAGGAGGTAGAGTCAAAGATTTGCCTAGTGTAAAATACCAGTGTATTCGAGGAGTGAAAGACTTACAAGGAATTCCTAATTGAAGTCGAGGCAGATCAAAATATGGTACCAAAAAACCCAAAATTGAAATATGAACTGAAAAATCTCGCAAGTCTCGCTTACCCCAAAACCCAGGGGTGAGTGCCAAAGGGCTCGCAAGAGCCGGGTCCCCGACCGAAGGCGCCGGAGGCGTCGTTTGGAAAATTCCACTGTGTCAGGCACGCCACAAAGGTTACTCAATTGGAGAGCCGTGTGATGGGCAACCATCTCGCACAGTTTGGAGAGCACTTTTTACGGCTGACTAGAACGTTTTACTGTGGTCTATCAACTCTTGACTCAATTTATTATTATGGAGAATTATTGTATATCTTGGTGAAACTCCGACGGGACAGTTTGTCACAACCCCTTGTTTGTTGTCCTCTTCTCCCTCTCTGTCGACGGTTTACCGGACAGTTCTGTTTGACGATATATATTAGAGGATTTTCCTTAACCATTGTCATTAAGCCTTAGATTATTTGGTAATATATTAGCTAATGAATTAGTTGTAGCAGTATTGGTTTCTTTAGTTCCTTTAGTAGTCCCGATACCAATGATGTTTTTATGACTCTTTACAAGTGCCATACAAACACTCTTTTTTGCTACTTTCGCAGCTGCATAGGAGAATCAATGGAAGGTCATCATTAAAGATCAAATTATTGCATTCTTGATAGAATCATTTTTATTATTATTATTGATATTTTATTACAAATAGAATCAATTTAATCCATACTTGCGGCGAATCAACATGTGTTGCACCCCGCACACGCGCCGCACCGCGCACGACGCGCGCGAACCCGGTGCGGCGCACCCCGAAAATAAGGGGTCGACGAAAAAAAAAAAAAGTTGCCGAGGGGTGTTCTAGGCCCAGGTGGGACGTCGCGTCGCAAACCACAAAAAAAAAAAGAAGAAAACAATTTGAGGCCGTGCGGGCCTCAAAAAAACAAAGGGGGGCAGTTGAAGTTAGTTTGTTTTTGAAGTTTTAAATTCAGAATGCTGCCCCTCGCTGCCTGGATGAACTCCGGTAGTCCAGCTTTGTGCCCTTCATGCCCGTCGTGCGTTGCCCATCGCATGGTTGCCTCCATGTCTCCTGTGCAGCAGCAGCAGTCGAAGGCGTCATCGTCCAGCCATAGCCAGGGCAAAACAGTCATCGTGAAGGAGCCGAAGAAGCAGCGGGAGGAGCGCGGCCTCAACTCGTAAAGTTGCCAGGTGGGTAACCACCAGCCCCTCTCTCTCTCCCCTCCTTCCTCTCTCTCTCTCTCTCTCTCTCTCTCTCTCTCTCTCTCTCTCTCTCTCTCTCTCTC